ATGTACACACGGTCGATTTGATAAACTTAAATTTTGTGTACACGTGGCTGCAAATTCGATTGTGTCCTGCTGTAATGAGTAGAACAATGACTTGCTCTGATCTGTCCTGTATATGGTAACCGTATTTTGCCGGTTATGGTAGCTCTTTGATTTGATTATGCTCTTCTTCTGTTGATAAGAGACTAGTACGACAGGTTCTTCATTTGCACCTTCCTTGGCTAGTTTATCAGCTCTTTCTATTTCCGGGAACTCCACAGTGGGATGGTTTCCATTGCATAGCTACCTTACATCAGTCGCCCAGTTCAGAGAGCAGTTTCCGAATACCTGATCAGTTTCCAGATTCGAGAGCTTGAAGTATCGCTCTTGCATTTGTCAGGAATACCACTGGTTGTGAAATGTGACACATAATTAACGGTCTCTGCTGCTATTTCGATGGCTTGAACTTCTGCATCATAGTTGTGACAATGCTTTCCTATTGGTATTTTAGCAGTATATCTGGTTTTATTTGGATGCTCAATGTGCACTCCTGCTCCTTCATTTTTGATTGCGTTTTGTACTGACCCGTCCGTATAGACACGACCCTCACATAATGCCTCAGGACAAAATAGACGCTAGGCACGGCCACTTTTTTTTTTTTTTTTTAGCTGTGGCAAATGTTTTTTTTTTCCTTCTGCCAGGCGGTGGCCGTTGCATTTTTGCTCCATTTGTAGACTGGAAGGATATAGTTTCGTCGCCCAGCTTCTGAGTTGAGTGCATGGCGTGACACTGTAAGCTACGTGTGTTTTTCGTTGGCACAGGAGCGGAGCAACCATGGGGTGACCCGTTTGCTATGAAGCTGAAACTAGGATTACCAGATTACCAGATTACCAGATTGCATGACCCCAAAGATCCTGTTGGTATTCATCTTCCAGTAGACTGAGAGTGGCTGTTTTACCCTGCACAATTATTTCTGGATGTGAATTGGCAAACACTGTTTTTCACTTATTTCTGGATGTGTTTTGGCAACTTTTAATTCTCTATCTAGAGGGTCCAATCTGAGATGGCATTTAAGGGGCTATGAGCTGCAGGCAGATCATTGGTTTGACTAGAGAGTTGTTGGGCCTGGCGGATTAACTGTTTCTTTTTAGTTGCCGCATTGCTAGATTTTGGAATCGTTCTTTCATAAGATGTTATTATTGAAATTACTGTTGCGAATGTAACAATGTAAGACATTGTTCGCCCCTTCTCATCCTTCTCCTTCACCTTTTTCTTCTCTTCTACATCTTCTTCTTCTTTTTCTTCTTCTTTTGCTTCCTCTTTTTCTCTTCTTCTTCTGCTCTTTCGTCTCTTCCTCCTCCTCATTTTCGTCTACTTCTTTCTTTCTTTCTTTCTTTCTTTTCTTTTTCTTTTCTTTTAGCGTAAGGTCAACTGTGTTATATCATGTGATTCAAGACTTTTGATTGACTCGTAATGACCCGCTTCAACGTACATTTGTATCCCAGCATTTTGTTTCTTTCTTTATATATTTATAAAACATTCCAATTTTTTAAACTAAATATCGATATACCTATTCTATCAGAAGTCAAAATAATGGAAATAATGAACAAGAATAAGAAGTTAATTATAAAAGCTTCGTCATAATAAACGTTTCTTGTATTGTAAATCTTTGTGTAATCTAATCTAAAAGAAGGTAATTTTTAAAGACAACAGCATTTGAAGGGCTCGGCAGAACTTTAATTTACAAGCAATAAATGCACATTTTCCCTATCAATTTAGCAAATGCATAACGAAATCCAGCGTTCCATTGTCCGCTCTCACGTCACATTCACATTGCTGGATCCCAGACAATTACAGATTCCACACCTTGGTGGATGATTGCATTTTAAAGAAATTAGAAAAACAATGTATGCATCGCGTTAGAACTAGCACCTCACCCGCAAACCCCCACCCCTGCCCCTCCCAACACTTCAAAAAAGTCACAGAGGGAATTGAAGAATCAGATGATGAATACTAAGGGAGATAACATGCTAATGTATCGATACATTTTTCTATAGAGCTGTCAATTTGTTTTTCAAAATTAGTTACGCAATTGAAACATTATTTTAGATCTGCCTAACTTGAGATTTTGAAAATAGGTACGGATTTACTCAAGTACAAATAAAAGTAGAAGGCAGCCTTGAATTTTCAAGCATATTATAGAAGTTTTTCACCATAGTTTGAACCAGAAACAAAAATATTTTTTCATAAATTCAACGATTGTTAATTTCCATTTCTTGAAGACAGACTTTCTCGAGGGGAGGATGTGGTAAGCCTGCCAAGCTGCCACAACCTCTTATGTTCTTAATAAAATAGAGATGGGGCGGATGTCCTAGAAAGGAACCATGTCTCTTTGTTTCGTCTGAATCTCCTAAGTGTGGTCAGGGTTGCCATATTGGCATTTTTGATGCCAGATCCATAAATCTTGCATGCTTTAAATTGAACTGGCATTAGATAATGAACTGGCATATTTGGGGTTTTCCTGGCTTTTTTATCTAGATGTGCTCACATTTTCCTCATGGTTCCTCCGTTAGAAACATGCAGATTTACTAAAAGCAATGTAGACCTACAGTTATAATCTTTATTCCAGTTCGACTTTTTTTTGTGATGTCCTGGTACGGACTAACGGAGATTCGCGCCATTTCTTATTGTATTTGTAGTTTTCCTAAACGGATCGTGACTTCGACAAACGAAGGCCCTCTGTAATTTATGTTGATCTACAAAAATAAATGCGGGATATAAAACTAAAACCCACCAGTGATTCAGACTGTTCAGAAACTACTTAAGGATAGAAAATACAGAGGATATAGACCTAGTTCTATCTGTGATAGATTTTATTACCAATCGCCACGTCATCCAAAAAATGGAAAGCATATTATGACATTGCAAGTACAGTAGTAACTGGAAGAAAACATACCCATGGCTCAAAAGATCTTCAAACGGATCAGAGGCAGCATAATGCAAACTGTGTCAGTGCGCTTATGCACAAAGAATTAATAGCATTTCAAATCATGAAAAATCTGAAAAACAGGATGAAAACTCCGTCAAAAAGCCAGTCACAGCTTATTACAACAATGACTCCTAGGCAAAGTAATGATAAAGTTAAAGGTAGCAGAGTTGCAACTTGCTGTAGGCATGAACTGTCATTGTGCAATACGCCCAATTGATCATCTAAGGGAAATCACGAGAGCCCATGGTCGGGGGAGTACATTGGAGCATATACAGGTGCATATGACGAAATGTTCAGGCCTAATAAAAAAATATATCGCCTGCACTCAAGGATGGCCTTGTTGATGATTTTCGGAACAAGAAATATGCCATCATTATAGATGAGTTGCAAAGACTTCATCCCATCTGTGAAAATGCTTAAAGATTTTACATCTGAAAAACTTTTTGCTCTATCTTCCACTGGTTCCAGTGAGGATGACAGTGAAGAATTCAATGTAGAGCTTTTAATGTGAAGTGGGAACAATGTTATACTTTATTTGGCATTTTCTGGCATATTTTGGGTAATGGTTTGGTGTAAAATGAAGTTTTTTTTTATCTGGCAAACCCAGGTGTGAATGGTAACCAGTAATGCTTTTCCAAGTCATCAGCGAGTCTACATGCTACACTTTTTCCAAGAGCTTGCCCCTAGTGTTTTGCATGATAATGATTCTGTAGCCACTGATCTTGGAATGGTCTTTATTTGGTTTTAGTAACGGTAGTAGGTAGCTGTGTAGCCACTCCTCTCTGATTTGACAACTTGTGATGCTGACGTTGAACTCTCTTGCCAGTTCTGACATATTGTCCTCTGACATCTGCAGCATATCAGCATACAGTATGCCGTCAGGACCTGGTGAGGTTAGGCGATTTCCTGACCACGAGATGGAGAGTTCCAACCATGACCCACTTTATTGAAGACGTTCGTGGTTCCTACATAGAAACTAAAAGGAATCCTTAAACGGGCAATATTGAGTACAGCTCCTGTCTTTCTCTGTTCACTCCATGAGGAGATTTGGTTACATGATGTTAGTTTATGACGAATGCCTAATGTTATTATAGAATAGACAAGGGTTACGCATCCTTTTTTTCGGCTATCCTCCGAATAACGGTCTTAAATTATCGAGGCGGAAAATATACTCTAACAGGGCCTCAGTCACGTGCTAATTGCGCAATTCCGGGGACTATAACTCCACTGCCGAATTGCGAACTTCCCGCAACCTCCGCGGGTATTTCCTCACGCCGCTCACGTGCTAAACTAGATGGCTAGGACTCAGGAGCAAATAAAATAAAGGAAGCTGCAGGAGATGCGGTAGCTGGTGCTCGTGAGCGTCATGGGGGTATAATCTCGGCGGTGGCGGAAGTCGCCAGGAGCGCGCAATTTAAGATGACGGAAGTGCGCAATTGACACGTGAATGAGGCCCTGTTGGGGTAAATTTAGGACCGTTATTCGGAGGATAGCTCTTTTTTATTTTATTTACCCCCGCATACCCATAAGTGCTTCAGCAGCAAGCGAAGAGTTCCAATTCCGATGGCACCAGTAAATCCGTCTTATTCTTCCCTGAGTGTTGGGTGTCAGCCACATTCCCTGGTAACTCCTCGCAGCGCCATTCTCCTCAGACCGTTATGATCTCTCTGCGCATCCTCACTATTCACTCGTTGCTAAAGGGCCCGACTATATCTTAGCTTGTAAAGCTACAATAAACAACATAAAAGTGTAATACTTCTACGTTTTCTAGTGTGTTCTACTATTTTTACTTCTTTCCTTTGACTCTATAATGCCTACCAAATACATGCCATTGTGTTCTGTTTATACTGTTTATAAATCAGGCGGACCTAGGTAGAAATTTTTTTCTTTAAAGAACGATTTATTTCGTCTACTTCCGGCGGAACTCCTTCACTCAAAACGTTGTTTTCTGTTTACTACTAGTTGAGTTTCTGTTTACTCCAACGGAAAGTGCGGTAGTTAAATTTGATTGTTTTGGGTCAGTAAACGCCGCACAATGTCTCTCGCGGACGAATTACTTGCCGACTTAGAGGAAGGTGGCGAAGAGCTAGAAACTATAGATGAAGAAGATGAAATGGCCATTGCAGATGTGACAGACGATGGCAATGAAACAGACCGGCGAGATCCTTCGCTCACATTGACCGTCAAAAGTGTGGCCAAACTGAAAGGCAGCGCTGAGCTAAACAGAATATTAGAAAGCATCGAAGAATATTCAGCCAAACCGAAACGTACAGAAGTTGTCGGTCCAGTAGAAGCTGATCCTGAGTACAAATTAATTGTTGATGCCAACAATATGACAGTTGAGATCGACAACGAAATCAATGTTATCCATCAGTTTATCAAAGATATTTATTCAAAAAGGTTTCCAGAGTTGGAGTCTTTGGTTCCTACACCGTTGGAATATATTTGTACAGTCAAAGAATTGGGCAATAATATTCTGGAAAAATCTAAGAATAATGAAACTCTCCAGGACATACTAACCCCAGCAACAATTATGGTTGTCAGTGTTACAGCATCGACTACTCAAGGTGTGGAGTTGTCAGATAAAGACTTGAATATGGTCATGGAAGGCTGCGACATGGCAGTTGACCTAAATAAAAGTAAAGACAGAATATTTGAATATGTTGAGTCACGAATGACTTTAATTGCTCCAAATCTGACTATTATTGTTGGAGCATCCATCGCAGCTAAACTAATGGGTACTGCAGGAGGATTAACTAACCTCTCAAAGATGCCAGCTTGTAATGTTTTGCTGCTGGGAAGCCAGAAAAGGACACTGGCAGGGTTTTCGAGCACCGCTATTCTTCCCCATACTGGTTTTATATACAACAGTGAGCTTGTGCAAAAAATGCCCCCTGACATGAGACGCAAGACATCAAGAGCAGTGGCAGCTAAGTGCACACTTGCATCAAGAGTTGACAGCTTTCATGAAAGCCTCGATGGAACCATAGGAGATCGGCTCAGAGGTGAATTAGATGCAAAAATGGATAAGATGACAGAGCCACCACCTGTTAAATTCTCCAAGCCATTGCCAGCACCTATTGAGCAGTCAAAGAAGAAAAGAGGAGGAAGGAGAGCCAGAAAAATGAAGGTAATATAGTCAGTGCCAGATATTTTGTTTAGAGTTTATATGTTATGTTGAGCTATATGCTCACGTGCAGACTCGAAGGTCATTGGTTTAACTCTGCATGGTGCCAGATTTTTTTTTTTAACATGACCTGGTTTCCCAGATCGACCCAACCTAAAATGGGTACCAGATAAAGTCCTGAGTAGTAAAGGTTGTTGGCGTAATAATGGCCATATCACCCATTAGGGCTGATTGGTCCAAAACTGAGACTAGCCTCACATGCCCTGTGTGCCACTGGTGTGTGAAAGGACCTTTTACAGTTAATATGTTATGTTATCACAGTCACCATCACTGCACGTTAGGCATTCCCATGGGTGCTGAGTTCCCAGTGCAGCAGCCACTCCAATGTTCCTATATTGATTGTTTCCAAGTGGAGCTCGCTGTAATTTCCCTGCCTCACTGGCAGATGTGCTCTGACTTTGAGAGAAGACGTCAATCCTATTTCTAGGATGACTGGCAGCTGGCTGTAATATCTTCTGTCTTGGCCTTGAAGGCAGCATAGATGTGCCTCACCATGCTTTACTCCCAATCCACAGAGGTAATCACTGCTTGTATGTTTAATAGTCAGACTGTATTTGCTGCATGGGATTTTAGCCAGTCGAACAGTATAATTTAGTGTTGTTTATAATCACAAAATAATTACAGACATCAGACTTTTAAACCGTGTTTAGTTGGAATAGTTCATTCTGTATCATATAACCCTTCTTGCATTCATTTAAAATTAAACTATATATGACCCAAGACTCAACAACCAATTAGGCATATATTTCAACAGTTCTTTCTTGACCAAAAGTGTCATGCATTAATTTGAACAGATCATTCATTATATGTGACGACTGACAAACGAAAGTAGGGAAGGTTTTGTAACAACTCATGGTGCATTTATTTGGATAGTTATTTCTACACCAAACAACCAGTCATGCTTTCATTTTGTGCCACACTGCTAACATGTATTCATTTGAATTGAGAACAAATATTAAAGCACTAGTGGCATTCCCAATATGCACTGCATCCCCATCTTCAACAGTCAATCCAGATTATATGGCAGAGTCCCCCGTGTGGGTTCCGGGGCCCTATTGTGGTGAAAAGAAGAATAGACCCACTGCCTCCCCAAAAGCATGTCGTAAGAGTCCACTAACTGGGGAGCTTCCTTTGAAGTCGGAGTGCATCTGCCTGAGAGGCAAGGAACCAGCAGTCTACATTCAATTGAATTAGATCTGTAAAACTGATGCACACGCAACACTCAGGTTCTGGAGCAGGACTGCAGTCCAGAAGTGGACGAACAACCAGAATTTTACGCCAGAGTGTACAGCTGGTGAACGCGAAGAAGAAGAAGATATAGCAGACTTACTTTTACACAGTGTTTTGAGCATCAGCCACATCATCTGGGCACTCCCATTTGCACCACTCTTTCGAAACTATAATGATGTAACAATTCCCCTGCATTATTCACTTACCTCCGAAGGGCTTTGGCCACTTCTGCCTTGTCAGACATCAGCTTACCACCCCGTGGTGCAGAACCAGCCAGTCTGTCTGCATGTTCATTTCCCAGTACACTATAAAGTCCAGAAGAAAAGATCCAAAGGAATATTATTACCTGTGACCACTTAAGCAATTTATGACACCTGCCTTAAGTACACCTGCCTTAGTCTTTTTCAGCTTGCTTCATGATTCCTTTAAAATTAAAGAATTCTTTACAAAATATTATATTTCAAATATGTTTTCATTTCAAAAAGTAATTATGTGCCAAACAGATATTCATGTTAACAACCAGTTATTTACCAACAAATTCATTTTGCATTCATCAGTTATTTAAATTTGCTAGTTCTTCATTGGGTTTGCATTTTAAATCCAGGTAATACCTTTTCTCTTGGAGGGGGGGTGTAGATTTTTTCTTTATTTTCTGGTTTACGGCTTTTAGTAGGGTTCAAAACAAACAAACCATTTGGCCTGCTTGGCCTTTTAAATTTCATGGCTCCTGAAGGGCCAGTTTTTTCCCTGTGCATCCATTGCCTTCTTCCTTTAGTCCGTGCCGTTTGGCATTGGTAATCAAGCTTTTCAACAGCCTTCTGTTCCTTGCACTTTTATTTGTTCCTGACACTGGTGATCCTCAATGCCAAGATGTCAGACTTTCCAGCTTCTCCTCTCTTGGTCTCCTTCTGTCTCTCTTCCCCTCCAGCTATCTAGTTGTCATGTCATCTAGTGTTCCAGTTTTTCCTGTCTCATTCTGTCACCAAAGAATGTAGATTGCCTCCTTCTTATGCAGACACCTGGTTCTCTTCATGAGTTTTCTTTCAGTACGTTCTCATTACACTGTTATCTGTCCTCAGTCATCTATAAAGATACATCTCTGCAGCATCCACTTTTGCCTAATGGTGTAAACATTTTTACATTAAAAATATTACATTGATTCATATTTTTTTCCCTCTGACTTTCGTAGGAAAGGCTTGGCTTATCTGAGCTGAGAAAACAGGCCAACAGAATGACCTTTGGTCAGATAGAAGAAGATGCCTACCAGGATGATCTGGGATTTTCCATGGGAACAATGGGTCGGTCAAGCTCAGGAAAGATCCGCGGCCCACCAGTGGATGCAAAGACCAAGGCAAGGATTTCAAAGACATTGCAGCAGAAGTTGAACAAACAGAATCAGACTTGGGGAGGCAGTACCACTGTGAAAAGACAGGTATGAATATTAGTTTTTATACTTTAAAGATTATTTGTCAGTAAAGCAAAAGGCTTCAGTTATCTGGGAAGTGTAATATCACCCAACGGGAAAATGGAAGCAGAGATGGAATACAAATGTAACAAAGCAAATCAGATCATTGACAGATGCCACCATTGCAGAACACATAATACAATTGACACAGTTTAAAAAAATAAATTTTTTTTAGCAACATTATGTTACTGGTGCCAATTATGGGCATTAACAACCAGAAGAGAAAGAACAATTGAGGTAACAGAAATGAAATGCTTATTATGAATTCTAGATGTAACAAGAAGAAACAGAAATGAAAATATAAGGAAACATATTGGAGTGAAACCAGTGCTAAACTACATCAAGAAATAACAGATTAAAATGGTTCAGACATGCAAGACTACCGCAAGATATTGCACCGCAGAGAGCATTGTCACTTAGACAGAATGGAACCAGCTATAGAGGTCGCCCAGACAAGCTGTGGATAGATGGGATATCCAAGGCTGTGAATACCAGCACCTACATAACACCCACCAGTGCTCAGACCAGACATCTCTTTATAACCTGATGGTGAAAACGGGCTGAAGAAAAGAACAAGATTATTAAGTGTTTTATTCTTACTGCCTGCTCCTTGTCTTCTAAGGATTATTTAAGAGTCAACGGTGACAGGTATACCTTGAAGAAACATTGAAAGAGGTTCAAATAAATCTCTTAAGAGATGAGTTATAGAATCTTGCTGATATGATGCTGGGTTTAATAAAAACCTCAAAGAAATATGCAAATAGCTTACTTGGTTATAGCTTATAACAATACTTGGCAAACAGCATGTTCTTTCCAACATTAAGCTACCAGTGCCAAACATGGACACTGTCGTCTAAAGCCCGTGCATGCAGAATCACCACTTGCGAGATGAGGTGTGTCTGAGAAAAGCCTGCAGCCTAACCATCAGAGATCGAATGAAATGAGATACCATCAGACAGATTATGGGAACGGCACCTTGTACTGGATTCATAGAGATCAGATGGTTTGGCCAAATACCATTACATGTTCAGAAGATCAGCTACAAGAGCAAAAGGATAACCGCTCAAAATATGGGTCGACAACATTAAAGACATCTTACGCCTTCACTGCCTGACGATGGCCATGGGCAACCAGCATGCACTAGATTTGCTAATTATTCCTCCCCATGACACCAAACGGCAGAAGTGGTTTATGATGATGATGACGACTTGGCTGACAAATGACACTGTATTATCTGGACTGAGTACAGAACAGTACTTTATGTCTTGTCATTGGAGAGGTGAATAGAGATGTCCAGATCAGCATGTGAAATTGACATATTTGGAATGTCTGTTGTGGAAACTTGTAAAAGATGGAGAAGAATGAGCTGAAACAGCCCTAATAAAAAATGAATTAAAAACTTGATTCGGGTATACAGAATAAAACAAAAATTAAGATAAGAAAAAAAACAACCTTTCATACTTTATGGTGATACTTGGAGAAGTGATCTTTTATTTACTCATCACTTGATAAAATATGCCCACCACAAAAATGGTTGTATATGTGCAACAATAATTTAAACTTATTATTTAAATATACCTTGTTCAGTTTAACACAGTTCTACATCCTTGTCTTTATACCTAAGGTAGTTTCTTAGTTCTATGGTACCTGTTTTATACTGAAGCAAAAGTAAGCTGTCTTAAAGAAAAAAGAAAGAAAAAACACACACTGAGTATTATGATAACTGACAAGATTAAGTGAAAAAGAAAACAACAGAAATATACAAAGGTCAAGATGACAGTCTGAATAGGGGGTTAAAGTCAAGAGGATAAATTTCATTCGTGTAGCTTCGTCTTGCTCTGCAGAATGGCTAGCTGACTGCCGAGACTGTCGCACAGGCACAAACAGGGCTACTTGGTGGCGAGCAGTGTTAAAGCATTTTATATGAGACAAATAACCTAAGTCACCGTTATAAACAGAAGCTTCCCTTTGGGGTTGGTGGTTTTTATTATTTTTCACTAAACAAGGCAAAGATGAAGGACGCAGTCAGGAAATTAATCCACAATCTTCATAAGCCTTGACCACTTCACCATGGCAACACTCTTCTGAATGTTTAAGACATTAAGAATAACGATGCACTTAAAGTAGTTCTCTGGCATGTCCTAGTCCTAGTTATTCTTATTGTTTGAAATCATATTCTGAGACTTTAGTCAGATTCACTACAGTTTATTAGAATATTCATGATTATCAAGTCCTTTGTTAACTGGCTTAGGTGGTAATAGCTCTTCACATCTGATGATTTCTAAATGCATGCATCAGTTCATGTGTCAGCTCCCTTCCATGCCATAGCAAAAGGCTGAAGAATCTTCTCTCTTTATCTTCCTGTATCTCTCTTTCCTGGGGAATGTTACTGGACAACTCTTTTTTTGTATTTTAAGTATTTGTTGTTGGCACTCATCTGTTTTTCCAGACGATAGTGTTATATTGTGCTATGGGAGTTGAGGTTCTCCTCTACACAGCACAAAGCTGGTGCATTATTGTAGAGACCACGTGTTGTGATTTTAAGTATTTATATATAGCGTTTTGTAAGTTAAAATGTTTATTGAAAATTCAAAAGATGTTTCCACTGAAATCCACAGGTAGAAGGCACTGCTTCAAGTGTTGCATTCACACCTCTCAAGAATCTGGAGATTTTCAACCCCCATGCAGCAGAGACAAAAGTTCAGCAAGCGACACAGCGCTATTTCTCTTCAACTGGCTCCTTTCTCAAGGTGAAAAAGGACGCCATGGGCCCTCCTGCAGTACCCAAACCTCCAGTGTCGAAGTAACAGACTCCACGGATTAACATAGATTTTCTCTCTTAACAGAAATCTTTTGTTTTTGTGTGATTGGTGACATGTAAAGTTTAGTAGTTGTTTGTGAAGTGCGAAGAGGGTAAAGCTAATATATGTAGTAGCAACAAAAAAAATATCCTGTAATAAACCTTTTTTTTTCAACTACTAAATACATTACTTCTGCTGTCTTCATGTTTCACAGATAACCACAAAATGGAATAATGTCAACAATTGAGATGATTTTGTTCAGTGGTAGTTTGACTGAAATAGGAATAGAAGCAGAATTAACGTAAATAGTACATTGCCATATATGTAGCCATGTCAGAGTAAAGTTGCCATACTTGCCCAATTAGGACTCAGGGTAATTTGTAACTGCCAGGAGCCCCACTATAACCTTACGTTTGAATGGTGCTTGCTACAATTTGTACATGGAGGATTCTCATCTTTGATGTGTTCATCTTGCTGACTGCAATTCACAAGGGGGACAAACTAAAAAGTAAATACATTGGTATATCATTAATGTTCTTCTGCTGCAATAATGCAGTGCACAGCAATATCATAGGTTGCTAACTCTCCATAACTTTGAATGAAAACCTTTGCTGCTAAAAGAAATAATAGAGAGACAAGTTAAATGTTTTAGCCATATTAAAAATTCCTATAAAAGCCACAACGAAGTGAATAAGTTGAAAGAAGGATGTGTAGACATCAAGAGATGGACAAACAGCATTCTGGGAGAGTACAACCAGGAGTAGAGGGGGCATGTTGGAGATCTGTTGTCTCTAGCCTCTGTTGTGGAGACAGCTCCTTATTTATTGATTAAAAATGACATTGATATAAAGTCATTCTAGCATCCATAAACAATTATTCTTTTGCACAAAATGTCCATGTAGTGGAATACTGTCTTTACTAAAGAAGTTTTTTTCTATATAATCTGTTATTGATCTTCAATCAGTCAATCCGCATCACGCCTAGAGGCACATAAGGCAAAGATAAACTGTCGCCACTCACTTCGATCCTGAGCCATCCTCTCTATCTCCAGATTTGTCCTTCGCGTAGCATTGAGTTGAGCCTCAAAGGTTCACTTCCAAGTGCCTGTGGGTCTGCCTCCTCCCGACTGTCTTGTGGTGTCCATTGCATTGCCTGTCTCAACCATCTCTCTTTCTTCATTCTGAGGACATGTCTAAACCACCTCCATTTAGTTTCTTTTTTATTTCTAAATTTACATTTTCCAAGTCTGTTATTTGTTGTTGTTATTGATCTTAAATAGTTAAATCTCCTTTGGCTCAGCTCCTTGTTTACTTTCTCTGTGCATTCTGTCTGACTCTGTTTTTTGCTCATAGCCAGTGTATAAGTTTTCTATTTAGGCTTGCAAATTGTGTTATACTATCCTAATTTTTTTTTAGACTGATTAACCTTCAAGAGTGATAGGTTCATTTTCATATTGGCCACCTTCACTTCCAATAGATTTCCAGTCACCGATTTTAGGCTGGGACAACCTTGGAGCCTGTTAATAGATTTAAGATAGCTAGATTTCTTTCTGTTATTTCTTGTAATAAAAGGATTTGAAAAGAATAAAATACTCATCTTGTGGAATTTTTATTTTGAATACTGGAGCCAGAATCTTTGGTGTCTGCTTGGCTTGGCCTTTGAATATTTTATGTTTAAATGCATCTGCCGTAAATTTGGGAGAAAAGTTCTGGTTGTTCATCCACTTCTAGACTTCAGACCCTATTCTAGATCTTGAGGTTTGTGTGCATATTGGTTTTATAGATCTAGCTTATTAGTATGCAGACTGTCGGTTCCTTGCCTCTCAGGCTGACACACTCTGACTTTAAAGGAAGCACCCCTAATTAGTTGAATTGTTGACAAGCTTGTTTGGGGGGGGGGGGGGGGGGGTATATTTTCCTTCTCTCACACTGGGGCCCCAGAAGCAACACAGATTTTTAAATAATATTTTTTTAGTTAATTTATTTGAACAACTATGTTTATGTCTACCTTGATCTCATTATCATCATGTGCCTTTGTCAAATGGAATTCATTTATCTGCAAAGAACCAGGTCATGGATAATTATATAGATAACGTTCTTCCTTGTTACTGCCATAGGACATCTAGCAAAATATCCACTGGTCTGCCTTGATTTTTCCAATCATTACTGTTCATGCAGGTGAGGCTCGTCAATATAAGAGTGCAGCTCACCTATGTGAAGGAACCTTCTGATTTCAAAGCTGGTGCAAATGAGGCTCAGCACGGGAATGCAGCTCATCTATAAGGAAAACGCTGATTTATGGACAGTTTTTTGGGGGTAAACACCAAGAAAAAAATCCATAGCTGGAATCCCTAAGGCTGTTCAACAGTGTTCACACTGTTCTGGCAATTCCTGCATCTTCAGTGCCAAGCTGTATTGGCACTTGCCCTTTCCTTGGTATTACTGGTGATATACAGAAGGTGTATCTGTTGCCTTGTCAACAGCCTGCAGTCATTTCAACCTGTCCAGGCTTGTGCCCTGGAGAAGCTACTCCAGCATCCCTTCTGCAGATTCTCATGAACCACTTTGCTAATGCATGTAAAGAATTTGGAGTGACTATCAGTTTCAACAAAAGTTCAAGTGATGGGGACGAATGTAGTAAACCCACCAAGCATTAGCATGTATGACCATGAGCTGTTGGTTATACATCAGTATGAATACCTAGTCTCTCGAATTGCAGATAATCTTTCCCTAGATGCAGAACTAAACAGGTGAACAGGAAAGGCTTCTGCAGTAATCACAACAATAGTGGTCAAACAAAAAAATTGCGGATAGGACCAAAATTTTTCATTTTTTGAGATCATCCTCATCTCATATCGGACATGACCATAAGTGCTTTGATCTTTTCTTGAGTATGTCTCCAATACTTTTCGCAGAGTTCTTTAATCTCTCTCTCTGTCTCTCCTCTCTCTCTCTCTTCCTCACATGACCAAAGAGCACAATTTCTCACAACTGTATATGCTGTTCTACGTTCATTAGCCGGATATGTGTATATTTGCAAGAATTACTACAGAATATCATTCCATAAATAATAAATATATAGGGAGGGGGGGGGAGGAACTATGCGACCAGGATACCAGCACTCCTACTTACACCACACCGTCCATTCTCACCAGATCCTTCTCCAAGACCTTCATCTTTACAGTCTGTAACCATTAGCTTTATCATCTAGTGCTTCCTGCAAGAGGCTTTTCTTGACTGCAGTTTCTTTGATGTATGACCTGGCTATATATCGCATACATACTAGTGGAGTACCTCTTGTATATCTAAACATCCCAGAATCAACCACATTGTTTCGTTACGTATGCGTTTAAGTTTCACCAGCTGACTATCAGATCTGTAAGCATTCCAGTTTCACAATCTATCACCGAGAGGACCAAATGCTGGAACATTGTGAACAGCATTCTTTGTTCCATGTCCATCGCTTTCATAATCTTGAGGGCATTGCATCCTTTTGGCACATGCGACAACATCCTCCACATGCTCTTAGAAGGAACATGCTTCTATCGAAAGTTATACCCTGGTACCTCAATTTGCTTTGTTATTTGATGTTTCTATCATAACTGTGATGCTTGGTACATTAGTTGTTACAACCTATTATTCAGAGAACATTATACAACAGCCGCCTTTTCTGGGTTGACGACAGAGCCCATCTTTCACACCAGTCAGTCACTTTGTAATTCTTGAACAACCTGTTGCCTATCGTTTCCCTGCCTATATGTAAGAACACTTAACAGCAAATCCTACCAACATTTGGGATTTCTAGTTCTGCAGTCTTGCTTGTATACACACTCAAGGGCACTGGTAAAAATGCAAATCCCTGTGATAGTCCCGAGGTCCATATACCCAGGCGTGTGATGTTTATGAATGTGTTCCAGAAGAGAATGGAGACGTTAATGGCAGCACTTGATCTTAAGATTGCCTATAACAGAACAGCTGCCATCCAATTCTCCAGCCAGGAACAGACACCCTTCTCCGTGAGCGCAGACAAAAAATATCATATCTGTCTCTGTTATATGCATCCTTAAATCTACTCACTACCGTCTCTTGTCTATTCTGGAACCCCTTTATAAATATCAAAAGAGCCGCATTGACCAGATATCTTGTCATGGATAATAACTACCCACACGCAGAACCCTACTTCCTGCATGTACCACTTTTTAGGGCGGTGAGGACAGGGGGTCGTGAGCCTGGGGATTTATGGCCGCATTGATAGTGCTGTCACCACAGACTGTACAGTGTTCAGGTTCGGATGTTTAATTTTGCTCCCAACAGAAAAACTCCCATAACCTTACCGGTGTCTGTCGAACCCGTGTCGCCCGCCATTGTACGACTCGGCCAGCTAAATGACAAATAACTTAAATGTTCATCGAGAGACGATGTCACTGACCCATAAGAAGAGTGTCAATGTCTGTGAGAACCGTCTAACACCTATTGTCTATAGAAAGCGAACGGTTAATTTTGTGAAGATCGTAAACGCCTCTGGTCTGCGTGGTCTGCGGACTGCTTACTTCCGATTCCCAGTCTGATATAGGTGGAACGCTCAGTATACGGAAGTAAAGTTAAGGCTATCAAGTGCGGGACGTGGAGATTTCTTGTGTACCCCCCCCCCCCCCCCTTTCACCCCATATCACACGATCGACTATAGGGATCCCTATAGTTGGCCGTGCCTCCCCCTTTTTTTCTCCCACAACACCAGTGTGCCATGTAGACTATTAGCTCTGCATTATGGAAGCCTCCGTGGATGGCGAAGAATTCCCATGCTTTGCTCTTGTCTTCCTTTGAGGGCTGACCAAGGGAAACACGACTGCCCTACGACTGTGGGTCAGAGGGCGAAGGTGGCGACAAAACAATGAAGCCGTGCAATGTAAAACGAAACTAACTAGAATACTAACCAGCAAATGCCAAGTGAACTCAAATGTGTCGGCTGAAAGGCGCACATGTCGCAGCTATGTTATAAACACAGCC